GAGCCCGGGGTGGGGAGCAGCGGGCGGTGGGGGGCGAAGGCTGGGGTAAGGCTGACCCCGAGGGAGCAGGGTCCTTGGGGAGCAGGGCTGGGGAGCATGGCCCTGGGGTAAGGGGAGATGGGGAGCGCAGCCAGGATGGAGAGCACAGCGGGGGGGCTGGAGGGCATCTGTCCCCCAGGAGCTGCATGGGATCCCAGGGGCTACACTGAATGGGGGGGGTCTCTGCCCACAGGTGCCTGAGCTGGAGAAAGCCACGGTCCGCATACAGCAGCCAGAGCGTGTGATGGGGATAATCCAGTCCATCAAGGAGCAGGGGATGAACAAGCTGCAGGTACCAGCACTGTTTGGCTCCGGCTGTGGTGGGGCTGGCCCAGCTGAGAGCAGACGATGCATCGCCATCACGCTCAGTCCTTGTCTTCAGCTGCCCCCCTCGCTTCCTCAGCCTCCCTGGCTGTGGCCTGGCTGCTCCAACGCACATGCAAGGAAGCACCTTGTACACATTTTGCAGATGGAGAGGGAGAAGCCCCAGACAAGAGGAGGGGACCAGGCTATTTTTTCTGTCGAGGCCCAGGCTGGTGGCTCTCCCTGGGTGGGCCTTTTTCTTCCCTGTTATGCAAGTTATAAATATGAGCCAGTCCCCAAACACCCCCCCTCCACCCATGGCAATAAGTCAGCAGGATTAAGCCTTCTGGTGCTGATAAGAGTGCTGAGGTGGGAGAGGTGCTGACTGTCTCAGATGAGGACATCTGCTTCACGGCTGGCAGGAGTGTCAACGTTCATTGCTGCTGTGCCCCGCTGTGAGTCTGTACCCTCATGTGAGACGCCAGTGCTGGATTTGCATCCTTGCAGGCAGCAGCACCCTTGGCTAGCTATGGCAAAGGTAGAGTGTGCTGGTCACGCACAGATTTGGTCTTCTCTCGCCTTCTAGGTCATTTCTGACTTCGACATGACGCTGAGCAGGTTTGGGTGCAACGGCAGACGCTGCCCCACTTCGCACAGTGAGTTGAAGCCATTGTTTTTTCTGTTGCCAATTCTGTTTGTTTTCCGTGTTTGTGTTCTCAGTCTCTATGGCTCCTGTTATCCTCTGCCTCCCTCCTTTGCCAAGCCTGACCGCTCCGTCTTGTTCTCTCTCGGTGCAGCTCCGGGCCTCGGCTGCTTGCAGCAGCAGCTGCTGGCCCCCGGGCAGCCCGCTGCAGAAACTGTCTCCTGGTCTTGCTGCTTCTCCTTCCAATACTTGCATCCTGCAGCTTGCTAGCGTTGACACTGCTCTCTCTCAGCTGAGCAATGCCCTATGATCAGTGCATGCTGCAGGTTCACAGTGGGAACCGCTGTGTTGAGACCCCATGGCAAGCCTGTGCTCGGGTCAATGTGCCCCACACGGCTCGTTTTTGGGAAGAGCTGGCACTGGAGACGCAGGATAGCTGCCTTTTAGAAAGCCTTTTTATGTTTCTGGGCTACAACATTGGCATTTTATTGTCTTTACAGATATCCTCGATAACAGTCGTGTTATCAGTGAGGACGGCAAGAAGAAGGTAGGTGCTGTTTTATAAGGCACTGCTTCTTGGCTCTGTGGTTTTCGTCCCTGTCACCCATCATCAGGAGGTTGTACTGGCTCGCGTGACAGCTCTCCAAGCTGCACCTTGCTGCCAGGACAGAGAGCGGGGCAAGTGTTCAGGCTGCATTTCAGCCAATGGTGATGGAAGGAGAAGTTAAAAAGGGAAATTTAATTTGTATGCTCAGCTGTGGGCATTTTCTGTCTGGTAGGAGGAGGAAGGGTGTATGAGTGTGCATCTGTACGTGCAGTATTTGAAGCAAGGTGAGAGTCAGTCAGGCTGCCGGAGGGTTAACGCTTCCTTCCAAGATCTCCAGATTTGCTCAGAGTGAAGTTGCTTAGTGAAACGGTTTTGGTTGTGTTTTTCATTAGGAAGTGTGATGCTTTGGAGGAATTTAGAAATGCTTTTTTTGCAGTTTACGGTCTCTTTAGATGTGATGTTCACTCTGTTCTTTTTCCATCTGTACAATGCTCCAGCTGAAAGATCTGCTGCACTACTACTATCCCATTGAAATCGATCCCAACCGGACCCTGGAAGAGAAATGTCCCCTCATGGTGGAGTGGTGAGTGCTAGTATGTGATGAGCTTGACCTTGTCCTGGCAACTTCTTACCACCGAGGACTACAAGGCACAAGGCTTGAACTGCCTCTAGGCTTGGCAGCAATACTGGGAAGTTTTAGTTGTTATTTTTCTGACTGCTTTAAGGTCGCTGCCCGGGAAGCTCACTCTGCTGCCTTCCCCTAGGTGGACCAGGGCCCATGAGCTGCTGTCGCAGCAGAAGATCCAGAAGTGTGACATAGCCCAGATAGTCAGAGAATCGGACGTGATGCTGAGGTACGGGCTCGGGGTTCGGTGTGGTGCCTGCGGCCCTTTCTCTCCTGCTACTGTGCAAGCAGGTCTCCTCGCTTTCACCCTGATCTGCGTGCAGTCTCCAAAGCGTGGCAGATGCAAATCTCCCTTCCTTCCTGGGGCTGAGCTCTAATCATGAAAGAGCCGAAAGTCAGCGCCACGAGCTGCAGCCTGAGTTTGCTCCCTGGCTGCAGGCTGACCCCTTCCTGCTCAGAAACCACTTCCACGTCCCTTGAGTCTTGGCAAGGAGCGGCCGAGGGGATGGGTGATGGGCAGAGCTCCCTGAACGGCTTGTCAGAGCCCTTGGCTGTTTGCAGGGCAGGCTAGGGGGGCAGCGTGCAACTCCCCCCTTCCAGGAGAGATTTTCTCTCCGCTCACTGTAGCTGCTGGGCCTTATTCAGGCCCTTGGCTCAGCATCAAATTTCACCCATGGCACAAAAATGTTGTGCTAAAGCTTGCTGTTAAGGCTGGCCTTGGCAGCAATGGTCCTAAAACCGTCTCAGGGAGCCTTGGTTTGAATGAGCTGCCAGTCTCGGAGAGGAGATGGTACCATCTGTCTGGGTTTTCATGAACCCAAATTCCTCTTCTGCATGGAAATTGTGTCCTGGCAGACTGAGACTGCGACAAGTTTGTCTGATCATCCTCGCAACTAGTCTGACCTGTTGCACGTCTCCAACGTACAGTTTCTGAGTGGGCTGGCAGTACCCACTCTCGTGGGCTTGTGCAGGCACGCTGTGCCTTGTGCCCCTGGTGAGAAGCTGGGTGCATTAGGGAGATGCTGGGCAAATTGCTCGTGTGCTGCATGTTCCTGTGCAGCTCCTCGCTAGGTTGCTGCTCCCAGGAGGGGTCTGGGGTTCTGCTGCACACCCCTTGCGTGCACAGTGAACACCACAGAAATGCTGGTGCCACAAAAAGCTCATGCTTTTTGCAGGGCTCATGCATGCATTTCTATTTGGGAAGTCCTGGGTAGAAATACGAGCCTTGTAGCTGGGCTGAGAGTGCTCCCAGCCCACAGTACACCAGGCCCCTCACTGGGAGGTGGTAATGTAATACTGTGTAATGGACGCTTCTGCTCTAGGGATGGATTCAATGAATTATTTGATCAGCTGCATAAGTACAACGTCCCCTTGTTCATCTTCTCTGCTGGTGTCGGTGACATCCTTGAAGAGGTTATCCGTCAGGCCAACGTCTTCTACTCAAATGTCAACGTGGTGTCCAACTACATGGACTTCGACGATAATGTGAGTTTCTGCATCGTGTATGTGTGGTGAGCTTGCAGAGAGGAGAGTTGTTTGATTGGAATTGAGGGCTGCAATACATTTAACAGAGACGCTGCTAGGTTGAAAGCTGCCTGTTAACATTTCTAAGTATTTGATCCCTGTAGATGGAGCTGACCCTTTGCTGGGTCATGGGAAAGCCCTAGAGGCTGGTTGTGGCCTCCCGCCCCATTTGCTCTGCCTTCAGGGATTGAGACCTGCTGCCACCGTAGCAGCCCTCTGAACATCAGCACTGGGGGGGTGTTAGAGGTTCCCCTGCCCTCACAGGGAGTTGGATCAACAGTGAGAGAGAGCAGAGCACGGATAAGGTGGGCAGGCAGAGTGCAGGAACAGCTGAGCATCTGCTTGCAATCTCCATGACTCATCGCCTTTCAAACTTGCTTTTTGGTGGCAGAAGTGCACTGCCGTCTCTGTGTCCAGTGCTGCGTGCTCTGTCCTGGTGCAGGGTGAGGATGGAGTTAACCACAGAGGTCTCTCCTGATCTGAAGGCCAGATGTCCTTTAAAGCAGCTTGGAAGGCTTTTGTTGACGTACTAAAGCTGAGAAGTCCCAATGCACATTAGAAAATTGCATGTCTCTTACAATGAAGCCCTCTGTTCCCATGGGTGGTGTGTTGGGACAGGCTGTCCTCGGGGGAGCATGGGACAGCATGACAGTTCTGCCTTCTGCAAGGGCCCTGCTCTGCCCTGGGGCTCCCCTGACTGTGGCTTTCCGTGGCCCCTGACCAGCTCCAGGGCAGTGCGGAGCCCCGACCAAGGCCTCTAGGATCTCCATCCTTTGGGTTTGTTTTCACCTTTGGAAAGGGCTTGCCCTGCAAAAGGGGACTCTTGGGGACTGTCTCCTGGCTGTTTCATGGCTGCTGGGTTTCCAGACTCCTCGGGGGTGTCTCTGAGACGAGAGCTGGTGCCCTGTTAGCATCCCCCCCGTTTGCCCATTCCGGAAGGGGTACTGAGGCTGCGGCACAGTGGAGGGATTGCTGCAGGATCAACTTGTCTGTCCTGTTTGCACAGGGAGTCCTCACACATTTCAAGGGACCTCTCATCCACACCTACAACAAGAACAATAGTGTCCTGCATGGTACAGAGTATTTCCAGCAGCTGAGCAATAGGACAAGCATCATCTTGCTGGGGGACTCCATGGGTGATCTGACAATGGCAGATGGCGTTCCCAGTGTGGAGAACATCCTCAAGATTGGTTTTCTCAACGACAAGGTGGGTGCGAGAAGCAGTTGTCTTGCTTCCCTGCCAGCCTTCCCCAGGTGCGAAGCCTGAGGGGCAGCAGAGAGGGGCAGGCAGCTGCCCGAGTGATTTGGGGGATGCGAGAGATTCAGACAAGCTCCCGTGGGGTGTGCGGAGGGAGTGGAGGGTGTCTGCTGAGCTCCCGATGCACCTGGGGCATTGTCAGGGTGGTTATTGACCCCTCTTTTTGATAGCATCAAGAGATGCAAGCGCTGTGGGTGCAGCACCTTCATTCTCGGCTGCTGGTGTTTACAGTCCTCTTCTCTCTCTGTGGCCCTCTCCTCTCCACCCCATCCCGGTGGCTGTGCTGCAGGTGGAAGAGCGGAGGGGGAAGTACCTGGATGCCTACGACATCGTGCTGGAAAGCGATGAGACGCTGGATGTGGTCAACGGGATTCTCCGGTACATCCTTATCAAGACATGAGCTGGGAAGGCAGCGTCCCAGCTCTGGCCCCTCAGCAAGATGCCTGGGCAGTGAATGTCTTTCCCTCGACAAAGCTGGAGTGGATCTTCTCGTACCTGCTGGACTCCATCCTGACGCTGGGCAGGCTCCCTGCCCTGGCTCTCGCGTGTTGCGCACATCCCGACCTCACTAACCCCCTTCAGTCAGCCCTGGAGCAGGAGGGGTGAGACAGAGGAAGCTTCTCCACTCCCTTTACCCCATCTGTGCCCAGCTCTGGTGCTTCCCTCTCAGACTTCATCCCACTTGGACTTCATCCCAGCCAGCGCCTGAGGCCACAACAAACCATTTCATGTTTCGGGTAGAGATGTTCTGCGCTTGCTTCAGTGGCCAAGCGCAGAAATGGAGATCGTTTGCTGTGGCTTGAGGACAGACCTGTTTTAGATGGAGGCTGTTTAGTTTTACAGGACACTGTCTAAGAAAACAAGTCTCTCTCTCGCCCTGTTTTCTGTGGGCTTCAAAGTGCCTGGGCTGAGCTCCAGTTGTGCCACCCGCGGATGAGCTGGTGTGGCCCTGCCAGGCGTAGCATCGCCCAGCCCCTCGTCCCCCACAGAAACCATGCAGCTCCCTGGCCCCCATGCCCCAGCCTTGCTGTCCCTCTTGCTCCGTTACAGCTCTTGCTATAAAAATGGCTTTTCCAGTCATCCCTGCAGGCCCGTGGAGCTCATCTGACGCTGCTGCACAAAGCAAGAAGTAAGTTTGTCTGCCGAGGGTTGGGTTGGGGGGGTTTGGGTGGCAGCGGCAGCAGCAGACTGCGTGCCTGGAGCACTGCGTTTGCAGCCCACGGGTGTGCATGGGGGAGGAGAGGCCAATGGCAGCATTTTGTTTTTTAAGGAATATTTTAGCTAAACATGTTTCTGTCTTAAGCTGCTGGGCTGATCCTGGGCTCTCAGAGCAGCATTAGAAAGAAGCCTCTTATTTCTGTGTAACCTCTGATAATGTAAGGAGTAAAGCTGTGACAGCCCTGATTCAGCAAGGGGCAAATTCAGACCCTTACGTGGGAAACTGCTTGCACGTCCCGTCCTGCTGCCTGCTCTGATGGCATCAGGAGCCTGTGCTGGTGCAGGGTGAGCTCTAATACAGCTCTTTGGGGGCCGTTATTGGTGTGGCGTGGCCCAGCACAGGTCGGCAGCCCCTGCCCTGCCGCCTTTGGACAGGGGCAGCTCTGGCTCGTGAGCTCTGGGCTGCTCTGGGTTCAGCCCTCGCTTGCTGCCTTCCATGTTGTGAGACGAGTAAATGTGACTTCTGAAAGTGCAGGCTCCATTCTCCTTGTCAAAATAAAAATGTTGGCTAAAGCTGGGCCACGGGTGGTTTGTACCCAGCTCCGAGGAGCTGTGTCTGGAGCCACTCTCCTCCCCAGGGCTGGCACTGGCAGCTGCATCTCCGCTCCCCAGCTCCAGGTCATCCCCACCCCTGCCGGAGCCCGCCGGCCATCACCGGGCATTCTGTGCTGGAGCTGAAGCACCGTCTGTCTTTGCTGGAGGATCCCAGGAGCAGAGTTTTGGTTTCTCTCTCTCCTGCCCGACCCAGCAGGTGCTGGAGTCTGAAGTGCCCCTGGGCACCGCACTCCCAGGGATGGGCGAGGCTTGTCTCTGCGCCGCTGCCCGGACACGCAGGAATGTTTCATGGCAAAGTAACCTGACACAAAGGCAAATTCCTTGGAAACCAGTAGAAATTATTTATTTGGTGCAAGGTAGAAGTTTGAGGGGTTCGCTCTGACCCTTTGCACTGTTCTGTTCTTGCATTTCTTTTATCTCCATCTGCAAGACACACTGTGCAAAAGTTTTTAGAGCCAGTGGGAGGTGATGGAGGCATGCTGGTCACAACTGGCAAACCTGAGAGCGCCCAGTTAATTAGCTGCATTTAGGCATCAAAATAAAATTGGGCTGATTTTTCTTAATCACTGAGGGCTGTCGCTGTGGGGCGGGGAGGATGCGGATGGGGACGATGCTGCTCCCTGAGGGCCTGGGTGGGAGAGGCTTTCTGTTTTCCTTCTCCCAACTGACAAGGAGTTTGCCAGGTCCCATCCCTGCTGTCTCGAGGGGTCCAGGCTTTCTGGAATGGCGGATCCACGTGGGGCACCTGGGTTTCGCCCTGGGAACCTGAGACCCCTCCAGCCTCTCGTCCCTGGGAGGATGGCAGCGGGGAGCAGAGGCTGGGCCAGCAGCAGGGACCCGCATGAAAGGCTTCTCTTTATTTGTCCTCTCCTTCAAAGAATTTTATACGTGTATATAAAAAAAACCCCAAAACCCAACCCTAACCTACAAAATGCTGTGGTAGAAGTGGAGGGGAAGCCCCCCGTCCTGCCTGCCTGCCCCAGGAGGCAGCGTGGGCAGGCGAGGAGGCTGAAGCAGGACGTGCAGTCGCTGGCTGAGGATGAAGGGACTCGGGGAGGGGATGCCGCTGCCCCGGCCCTTCCATGGGGAGCTGAGAGCAGGGGGTCGAAGCAGGGTTTGGCAGCAGAGCGGGGCAGGGCAGGGCAGGGCTCCAGGGTCTGGCCCTGGCATCCTTGGTCCTGCTCGACAGCAGAGGTATCTTCTACATAGCCAGGGAGCATGAGGGGACGGGCAGTGCGAAGAAACGTGGGTGCTGCCGTACCCACGGGGTATGGAGACTCCCAAGAACATGGGTGTTTCCCACCTTCTTGCCTGGGTTTATTAGCTGGGGGTTGGCGAATTTTCCTGCCCAGGAGGAACACATCAAAAAAACCTCAGTTAAATACTAGGGGGGGGGAAAACAAAATTTGCCCCCCTGCAGGGCTGGGGAGGGACAGGGCAAATTTCCAGGGCAGCCGGTGGGGAAGACCGGCTGTGGCACAGCAGGGACAAGTCCTGTCTCCGGACAAAAGTGAGTTCCGCTCCTCAGAGCTCCTCGTGGATCTTCTCCTGGTCCTCATCCGACTTCAGCTTCAGCTCCTCGGAGGTGATCTTCCCGTCCTGGTTGCGGTCCTGGTTCCTGAACATGTCGGCAATGACTTTCTCCGGGTCGGAGCTGGGCATGAGGCGGCCTTTCCCTTCCGCCACCTGGGTCTTGATGAAGGTGGAGAACTGCAGCGGGGAGAGGAGAGAGATGCTGCTTTGCTCCGCACAGCCGGCACTGGGCACGGCAGGGAGCACCACGGCCCGCACCAAGGGCAGCAGCCAGGCAGCGAGGATGGGGCAGGGACAAGAGCACGGGCTGCCCCCAGTGTCCCTGCCTGGTCACAGCCCTGCCCACATCCAGCAGCGGTGCTCCAGGCTGGTGTGTTTTTTCTGCACAGCTCTTCAGGCTCTCGAGTGCCCGGGGACAGCAGTGTCCTTTGGGTGCTGCTCCCCGGGGTGGGGTCCCCTGTGCCCCCGTTTCCTCCCACACCCCATAAGCCCGTGGGCTGGTGGTGCTCGGGGCCCTCGCTCACCTCATCAGCGGGGATCTCCCCATCCTTGTTCAGGTCCATTTGCTCGTAGAGGTTCGCTGGTGGGTCCCCGTGCCAGATGAAGAGGTAGCCCTCAGGAACCCCCTCCTCCATGGATATCAGCTCCACCTCAAAGCGCAGCACGGCGCTGCCTGGCACCCCCCGGGCTGAAAAAGCGACCGAAGGCTGCTGCACCGCAGGAGAGCCCAGCAAAGCGCTGGGTGCCTGATGGGCAAAAGCCTCCCAGCCCCCAGCCGGGGCAAGGGGGGTGAAGGAGCCCAGCAGCACTTCAGCAAGGCAGAACCGCCCGGTTTGCAATGCATGGGCAGCCACACGCCGCTCCCCTACCTCCGCTCTCCCCGTGGCCCAGGTGGGGGGGGATGATGAGCACCCGCCTCTCCCCCGCGCACATGTTGAGGAGGCCACTGTTCAGGCCTTCGATGACCTTGTTGGCCCCCAGAGTCACCTCCTGGGGCTTCTCGTAGTCATGGCTGCAGGAAGCAGAGAAGACCACATGGCTGAGAAAGCCCCTCAGACCCAGTGAGCAGCCCCGCCATGCCCCAAAATCCTGTGCCCTCTTCGCTGCCATGCCCTGAAATCCCACGCCCTCCGCTCTACCACCCCAAACCCCTGCACCATCTGTCCCACTGTGCTCCAAAATCCCGCACCCTCCACCCTGCAGCAAAATCTCTGCTGCCCTATGGCCACGTGGCCGATGCTCTGGTGCTGCCCGTTGCAAAGAGCTGATGCTCCCAGCACTGCTCCAGTGCCCATATGCCCCCAGCGCTGCCCGGCTCAGCACCAGCCAGGATTTGGCCCTGTGAAGGAAAGGCGTGCTCAGAGCAGCCTGCAAGCAAGCACGCACGAGGAGAAGAGCTTGGTGCCATCCAGCAAAGAGCAGTTGTAGTGGTAGCGGATGAAGTCTCTGTCGCGGGTGGTGATGTTGCAGCCCTCAGGCCGGTACACGGTCTCAATCTCCACCGGGTCTGCGGGGTTGTGGAAGTCGATGATGTGAACGTCAAAGATGAGCACGGCTGAGCCGGGAATTTTGTTCCCTGGAAGAGGAGCATGAGGAGAGCTGCTGGAGTGCCGCGGGGCCGGTAAAGCCTTTCCCTCCTTTTTCCCATGCCTCGTGGCGTGTCCGTCCCTTGGAGCCCTGGCTCTGCACATGGCATCAGCCTTTCCCCTGCCCACAACATGCCCTCCCAACGCCCAGAGCCCTGGGGATGGAGCTGGCCCCGCCTGGCCAGCGCTTTCCTGATGTCAGACCCTCGGTGTGCCGGTGCACAGGGCTGGAGGAGGGGATGCCACAGCCCGGGGCTGTGCTGTGCAGGCATGCCGGACCCCATGGGGCTGCCCTTTACCTGCTCCGTTCTCCCCGTAGGCCAGGTGTGGGGGGACGACCACCCGCCGCCTCTCTCCCATGCAGACCCCTTGCAGGCCCTGGTCCATGCCGGGGATGATGTAACCCTTCCCGATGTAGGTGTTGTAGGTGTGATTGCGGGAGTAGCTGCAGCGAGAGAAGCCCCCGGCGCCATTGTGCTGGAGAGCCTGGCCCATCAATCCCCCAACACCACCCCTGCACCCCAACCCGCACCCCATCTCCCAGCCTCTGCCCTGCTCCCCCAGAAGCCAAACCTTGCTCCTAGGGATGCAGCAAACAGGTATTTTCTTTTTTGGCCTATTTCATGCCCATTACCACCCTCTCCTCCACCTTCCGCCCCAATTCCCCAGCCTCTCCTTGCAGCCTGCTGCTGAGCGCGGGGCAGGAGAGGACATGGGGGGATGTCCCCACTCGGCCGCTTCCCTCCCTGCACCTGGAGTCAAAGAGTGTCCCGTCCATGAGCGTGCCGTTGTAGTGGTAGCGGACAAAGTCCCCGGTCACAGCCCTGCGCTTGCAGGACGCTGGCACCTCCAGGTGCTCCAGGAAGACGCCGTCCTTGGGGTTGTGGAAGTCCACCAGCAGCACGCTGAACACCAGCGAGGCCTGCGGTGGGATCACGGTCCCTGGGGAGGGGACACGGGTCAGCCAGGACAAGGGTCCTGATGTACCCTGGGGGGCTCTGCGCAGAGCTGGAAGGGAAGGGGCCAGGCATGACAGAGTGATGCCCAACTCACCGTAGCCCTTCTCCCCGTAGGCAAGGAATGGGGGGATGATGATGCTCCTCTTCTCCCCGGCGCACATGCCCAGCAGCCCCTGGTCCATGCCCTTGATCAGCCAGCCGGTGCCCACGTAGGTGTCGTAGGTGCTGTCCTTGCTGTAGCTGGTGGGGAGGAATGAGGGGGGGATGGCTCCAGGGCCATGCCAGCTCCCCCAGCCTGAGTGGTGCCACGCGGGAGGCTGGTTTGGGGGTCACAGAGCTGCACCAGCCTTGCCGCGGTGTGGGGAAGGAGAGCACGGGGGGAGTCTGCTCTGACTGGGGTGCAGCGTGGGTCCCCTGGTCCTCCGCCAGGCCAGTGTCCCCTAGTCCCTGCCATCCCTGCTGCCCCCAGCCCCGAGGCAGAGGGTGCACCCGAGCTCCAGTGCCCCGAGGCGAGGCTGCATCCCAGCGCTGGTGCCCCGTACCTGGAGTCGAAGGGTGTGCCATCCAGCAGCGTGCCATTGTAGTGGTACCGCACGAAGTCTGAGTTTTCCACCGTGCGGTTGCAGTGCTCCGGTTTGGAGAGGGTGGTGATCTGCAGCTTGTCATCCTTGTTCCAGATGTCCAGCATGATGACGTCAAAGTACAAGGTGGCGTCTGGGGGGATCAGCCCCGCTAAAGGGGCGGCAGCAAGGACAGAGCACCTTAGGTGGGAGCAGCGCCGAGCACAGGCATGCCAAGGGCTCTGACCCCTCAAGCCCTCCCAAGCCTGGGGCTGCTTGGGGCTGCTGGCCACACATGCCAGCCCCCAGGAAAGCAGCAGAGCTTGGGGGGGGCAGGACCCCTCCTTCCCTGCTCAGGTACCACTTGCATTGGCTATTCAGTGCCCTGGCAACAGAGCCGCCCTTTGCCAGAGCCTGCCAGCTGGGTGCCTGACCTCCGTCCCCACTAATGCCAGCCCCAGGAGATTTGCTCCCTCCATCCCCCCGCCATGCCGCAGCCCCTTACCCACTCCGATGCTGCCGTAGCCCAGGTGGGGGGGCACGATGAGGTGACGCCGCTCATTCACGCACATACCCTGCAGCCCCCGGTCCATGCCAGTGATCAGCCGCCCGACGCCCACCACACCGGCCACTGTAGCCCCTCGGTCATAGCTGGGGCGAAGGGACAGACCCATCAGCAGCACGCGGGCAAAGGGTGAAGACCCCAAGCCGCTGGCACTGGGGGTGCTCAATGCCAGTGCCAAGGGCTCGGGGCGGATCCAGAGCCAAACCACGAACCCTGTGAACACCGAGAGACGGTGCGGGGCTCCCGAGTGCCTGCTCACCACGGGGGCAGAGCCGGAGGACGGGGCTGCCCCCTCCCTGGGGATGTAGGTGGCCCACCGCAGCCAGTGGGTCCCTGCAGACAGAGCCCACAGCTCACCCCCGCAGCAAACAGACATTGATCCTGATGGGATCAATCCTGCACTGCCCGGGGTGGAGCTGCCTCTCACAGCACCAGTCAGGGCTCTGGCCTGACCCTGCACACCCAGCACCCTTGGACGCAGGGAAATGCAGATCCGGCCCTCTGGATGCAAAAGAGGTGGGTGATACTTTCAGTTGGGACCAAACCCATCAACACCCTCCCCAGATCTCACCCGGCGAGCTGGGCTGGAGGCCAGCAGCTCCCAGGCTTTCTGCTGCTTCCAAATCATTTTGCATATGGCACATTTGGAGCTTTATGCAGCAAGGAGGAAAGAAGACATCCCAGGCCTCATTTTTAAACTGCAAATTTGTTTTTATTTTTAAATCTTAAAATACTCCAAGAAGCAACTGGGGCCATTTTGGATAAATTGAAATCCTTCATTCCCTTTAATGTGCAGCTGATGCTTTCTCCTGGCAGCACGCTGCAGTCCTCGGGACAAGGACTTATTTTAGCTGCAAATGTCCCCAGGCTCCCACTGCGTCTGGGGCTCGCAGCAGCAGCAGCGCACAGCTCAGTTACTTTCTCCCCCATTCATGCTCACAAGAAAGATAAGACACATTTAACCGGAGCAGAATCCCTTTGCTTTCCAGGGCTCTGAAAAATGCCCGTCTGCAAAGTTTTTGTTCCTGTGCGGGGCTGGAGCTGAGCTCCAGCACAGCCCAGTTTGTTTCTGTCCTTTCACTGCGTGCCTGATTCTCCCCTGCTCACAGTGGTGCAAATCAGGGACTGCACCAACATAAACACTGATTTATAGCCAGCGTGAGCGGAGCAGGATCAATGCATGGGCTGAGGAAAACTAAGACCAGCCAGAGTGAAGCCTCTTAGGTAATGAACGGGTTTCGCCGCTGCCACGTTTCAAAGCGCTTTAAGTGTTTTCCCTGCCTGTGCAGCACATGTAAATACATGTTCCTGAGTGCAGAATGTCTCACTTAGGGCCAAATCCTGCCCATGCCTGAGACGGGCTTCCCCGTGCCCCGTGGCACCCCGGAGTTGAGGGCGTGCAGGCGCCGCAGGCACCCGCAGGGCTCTGCAGGCTCCTCGCCTGGGCAGGGGGGGGTGCTGCAAAACCCAGGGGGGCAGCACAGGCGCCTGGGCAGGAGCTGCTGGAAATGGGGCGGGCAGGGGCTGCAGCCCTGGGCGGGGGGGCGTGGGCTGCGCTCGGCAGCTCGCTCGGGACCACGCCGGGGCCCCCGGGCTGACACGTGTACGGGGCTCCCCAGCCTCACCCCCAGCAGCCACCGCGGGCACCCGCCAAAAGCCCTCCTTGGGGTCAAAGCTGGGGGCCCGGGGGCTGGCCTGAGCAGGCAGCTGCCTGCTCCTCGCCTTGCTGCCTGCTGGCCCTCGGGGATGCGACAGGGCGACACGCACACGGGCTGGGGAGGAAGGCATGCAGGGATCCCCTCCGCAGCACACGGCTGGCCGGGGCCGCATGCATTTGGTAAAGAGCCAAGGGCTATACCTGGAGTCAAACTTTTTGCCATCTTTAAAGGTCCCATTGTAGTGGTAGCGAATGAAATCCCCCATCTGGACTTCCCGCAGGCAGATTTTGGGAATATAGTATCTGTCTATCACCACGTCTTCCAGGGGGCCGGGGTCGCCCAGCCCCAGGGCCCCCAGGATGCTCAGGAGGAGGACGAGGCTGCCCGGGGACATGGCGCTGGGAGGCTGCGGCCGGCGGAAAGGCACGGCGGGGGGAAGGCGGAGAGGTGGGGCCAGCCCGGCCGCCCCTTCCCGCGGGATGCCTGCCCAGCCCCGGCCCAGCTGGAATTTCTGTACACGTGTACCCCGGGCCTGGCGCGTTGGCCTCGCCAGCCATGCTCCCACCACGAGTCGCCCGGCAGCATCGCCGGGGCAATTCCCCCCAGCCGGCAGCAGCGGGGCTGGGTGGGAAAAGTCGCAGCGGCAAAGCTCCACGTCAGGAGGGTTTCTTTTTTTTTTCCTCTCTCTCTCTTTTTTTTTTTTTTTTTTTGGGCAGTTCCTTCTGCAAAGGAAAAAGCTGAAGAGAGCTATTTGGAAGCAAGTTTGTGCAGCTGGAGGTCCCATCCCAGCCCTGCTCGCCCTGGGTCCTAGTGCTGGCTGCGCTCCTCCCAGCAGCCTCTTCCCTGCCGCGGCCGGGGTTATCGCTCCCACGGCTCAAGATGCTGCTACTTAGTCCCGAGCAGTTCAGCAGAGTAAATACAAGGAATTAAGTGTTTTAATAACATCTACTGCTCTTTAATCTTCTGCTGACAGATCTTTTACTGAATGGCAATGATTAAAAATGTGAAACTATCTAACACTCTTTCCCAGGTAGGAGCAGCATCAAATGCACACGTACGTGTTGCCCGCACATCCCAGCTCCCCCAAACCCATCAGCAAGAGCCAGGCACTGTGGTAAGAGCCCTTGGCAAGTCCCAGGTGGGAAATATGACAGGCCATAAACCCAAAACGAAACCTGGCTTCTCCAAGGCACAGCGCTACCGGTGAGAGCAAAAGCTCAAGCAAAGCGCTGTCAGCTCCCTCGAGCCCAGCCCCGAGGTGCTCCGCAGCTCCCCAGCACACTGCACTGGGGCTGAGCCGCCTGGGCACCGCTCGGAGTAACTCGGCGGGACTCGGGGCTCTCCCCACGGCACAGTGGGGTCTGGGCCTGAGTCTGGGGCAAGTGAGCGCTTAGGGGTGATGGCATCCCGACCTGTGTGCTGTGCAGCTGCTCGTTTGCAGGGAGTTGCTGGGCACTGCTAACAGCCTCTGCTCCGCAGGAAGAAACCTCAGCAGTGTCCTGGCTCCTGCCCTGAGCCGTGACATCCCTCAGCACCACTGTCCAGCCAGCAGCAAAGCACTGGAGTTGGGCTGGGGCCAGTGTGGCCGCGCCAAGGCCTGGCGCGGTGCAGCCCTGAGGCCTGGGATCTGGCACAGCGTAGGGCGTGCGGCCTCTGGCTTGGCACCAGCCGGCAGCGAAACCAGCTCCGGGCACAGCCAGGCTGGGGGTTCCAGCCAGCTGCCCGGGGCAGCGCAGTGCACCGCAGAGCACAGCCCGGAGTGCCCCGGGGGCTGCAGCACAGGGCACACCCCAGCACCCCCCGCTCGGCAGCGTGCAGCGCCGAGCACATCCCCAGGGCCGTGCAGCCCCGAGCGCATCCTCCGCAGCCCGCAGCGTGGGGCGCACCCTGAGAGCGCGGGGCGTGGAGCGACTCCCCGCGGCGCGGGG